CCCGCCGCGCCGCCCTGCGCCTCCCCGAAGTCGTACAGGCTCCGCAGCGCCGACATGTCGTAGGCCTCCGTGTCCTGCTCGCCGCCGCCCTCGTCGTTGTACTTGATGACGTTGTCCCGCATGTCCTCGTCCTCCTCGGCGCTCAGGTGGCTCTTGTGGTGGCGCCGGAGGGTGAGGATCAGCAGCACCAGCACTGCGCGGGGACGCGGGGCGCGGGGACGCGGGACACGGGGGGACACGGGGGACAGGGGACACGGGGGACAGGGGACACGGGGGCATGGGGGACACGGGGGCACGGGGGACACAGGACCCGGGGGACAGGGCACAAGGGGTGTGGGGACACAGGACAGGGGACACAGGGCACAGGGGACACAGGACATGGGGGTATGGGGGACACAAGGACACAGGGGACAGGACACAAGGGGCGCGGGGACACGGGACACAGGGGGATATGGGGTCAGGGGACACGGGGGTATGGGGGACACAAGGACCACAGGAGACAGAGGACATGGGGATATGGGGGACACAAAGACGCGGGGGACGGGACACAAGGGGACACGGGAGACATGAGGACAGGGAACACGGAGCATGGGGACACAGGATGGGGGACAGAGGACACAGACATACAGGGAGCAGGGACACAGGTCAGGGGACATGGGGAACATGGGGACATGAGGATATGGGACACAGGAGGTGGGGATACAGAGGACACAGGCGCATGGGACACAGGGTCACAGGGGACAAGGGACATGAGACATGGGAACACAGGACACGGGGGACACGGGGCATGGCGTGGGTGAGGGCTCTGCTCACCAGCACCCCAGTGTAGCCCTCCCAGTGCACAACAGCCTAGAGAAATTCTGCTCAAAACTATCTGTGTGAGCATGTACATGTGTATGCGTATGTGCAGTGTACGTGTGTACATGTCTGTGTGTGAGTGTGTGTGTGTGTGTGTGTGTGAAGTAGGGCTTGGATCCAGGGCTTCACACTCTTGCTTGGCTTTTTTGCTCAAGGCTGGTGTTCTACCACTGGAGCCCCGCTCCACTTCTAGCTTTTTGCTTGCTATTTGGAGATGAGAGTCTCATGGGTTTTGCTGTCCAGGCTGGCTTCAAGCTGTGATCCTCAGATCTCGGCCTCCTGAGTAGCTAGGATTATGAGAGTGAGCCATTCATAATCCTAGTGGCTGGGTTCAAATCATCTTACTGTCAGAACTGAACTTGTCTCTGGAGGTATGCAAATTGAAGTGAGGTCGCCACTGGGGTTTGGGGTGGTATAGAGAAAGTGCAAAGGGTTTGTGGGTGTTGGGGGCTGAAGTTAACCTTTGAGGGCCGTGCCTTGAACTTATGGGGAGATGCACTGTGCCAGGACCCGAGGTGCTGGGTGTGAAGGCTGCAGCTTGAAAGGCAGACGGAGCTGTAGGAGTGAGGGGTGTCCTCAGCTCTGCCCCATTACCCTTGCCCTTTCTATCTACACCGCAAGTCCCCGGCTCCTGCTCAGGTCTCAGATCGAGACCTATAGGAACAGGCACAGATGCTCACCCCTGTAATCCTAGCAACACAGGAGGCTGAGATCTGAGACCCACAGTTCCAAGCCAGTCTGGGCAGGAAAGTCCATGAGACTGTTATCGCCAATTAACTTCCAGAAAGCCAGAAGTGCAGCTGTGGTTTAAAGTGCTAGATCACTAGTCTGGAGCACAAAAGCTCGGGGTCAGTGCCCAGGCTCCAAGTTCAAGCCACAGGACCATCACACATACACACAAACCTCCATACAACCTACAAAAGCTCCCCTGTAAACCCCAGGCCCCTCCATGTCTCCTCCTACCCCAGAACACACAGTGCCAGGTCTGGCCACCCAGGGCTTGACTTCGCCTCCAAGATCCCCTGGGAAGGGTGTCCCCTTCCTGTCACACTACACAGGAAAGTAGTAGTGGCCCTGGGCCGGCTGCAGCCACCCCTGAGAACTTGTTAGAAACACACTTGCTCTGTTGGGCCCTAGACATGCTGGGTGAGGTTGGCAGTTTGCTTTTCTAAGGCCTCTGGGTAATGAAGAAGGCAGCTCAAGTTGGGAGTCCTGGATCTGCCTTAGACCACATCCTGCTAAGGTAACATGGCTGTCTCCCTTGCTGCCAAAGTACCTTCTTGGACCTGGAAAACGTGTGCCTAGCTTGGTGCCTGGTGTGTAATAAGCTAGGGAAATATGCTTGAGTAAGTGAATGAATGAAACTTGGATGAATGAGTGAATGACTAAAATCTGGGATGAATCAGTGAATAAATGAAAGTGTGGGTGAATAGAAGGCTATGTGAAGTGAAGTGAATGAATGAATGAATTAATGGTATCTCTTTTCTCCATATCTCCCCTTCCCCCTCACACTACCTTACTGTTGGCTTGTTCTTAGTCTTTCCAGTACTGGAGATTGAACCCAGGCCCTTTGTGATTGCTAGTCAACTGCTCTACCACTTGTGTCACACCCCAGCCTTTCTGTTTTTATTTTGTTTTGGTGACAGAGTTGGCTAGTTTTGTCCAGGCTGGCCTTGAACTCCAGATCCTCCTGACTAGTGGGGATTACAGGTGTCTGCCACCACACTTGGCTTTAAGGGCATCTAAGCAGGCTTTTTGCCTCTCAGGCTTAGAGTCAGACATTCTGGCCTTCAGACCTGGTTCTTCATGCATGCTCCCTGTCTTGGGCCTCTTCTAGTCTGCTGGCTTGAAGTTCCGTCTAGAAGGTGACAAATACATCTCAGCTGGACCATTCCCTGAAGCCTGGACAGATGTGAATTCCATTTCCCATCCAGTGTCATCTGGCTGACCAAGAGAATCTCAAGTTTGATGTACCCAGAGGTGAGATCAGTCTTTCCTCCTGTAGTCTCCACCTTTAGTCTCCCCCCAGGGCAGTGACAGCAACCCCAACTCCTCTTTACTCAGAGATTTCAAGTCTTTTGCTCACTGATGAATACATGTGCCTTCAATAGTCCAGCACATAGGATGATACGTAAGCAAATGCTGGCAGGTGGAAAATGGATGGATGGATGGGCAGATGGATGGATGGACAGTTGTCTGCTGGGCACTATGTCAGGGATCAGACTCTTCTTGCTGGTCCGAATAGTTCCAGCCAGAACAGTAGCCAGTGCCAGCTGCTAGGACCATGGAGCCTGGTACTGGCTCACGACCTCACAAAGTAGCTTAAGACAGGGAGAGGGGTGGGGGCTGGGGCCAGGCCTGGAGGGAGGGCACGAGGGGAGGGAGGCATCGGGAGGGGTGTGGGCAAGATGGATAGGCAGTTTTGGGAGCTGGAGGCCCAGAGTTGTGGAAGGGGATGCCCGCGAGAGCAGATGGCGGGGACCGCGGGCGGCGGGCAGCAGCTGCGCCAGCCCCATCAGCGATTCCGCCCGTCACCTTTAGAGTACTGATGTGCACTTTCTTCGTTTGTGGGCAATTAGGCAGAAATTTGTTTGCACTGCCTCAGAAAATGAAACCGCCATAAAGTGCACCCTCTGGAAAAAAAAAAAAGGTTCCAGAGCCCTGAGCCTAAGAGAAGGGGGGCTGGGCTCCCAGCTCGGTGGAGGGCACGAGCCTCCTTAGAGGCCGCGCCAGTGGTGGGCAGGAGGCAGCTGCTGTCTCCCAGGGGACTGAGCTGAGCTGGTGCCCATAATGGAAACATCCCAGGGCCCCCAGCAGCAGGACGGGAATCTCAGTACCATTAGCACGTGGGTGGCAAGGGCTGGGAAGGGAGCATCCCATTTAGATCATTCGGGACACATCAGGGCTCCAATAACTGCTGGTGGTATCAGGTAGCCATTCAGATGTTGTCCTGTCTAAATTCCTAGCAGGGGGCAGAGGTAGAGGAAGAGGAGCACAAGGTGACGAGATCGAAGTTCAAGTCAAAAGACTAGCTCTGTCCCCACATAACCATTTCACTTCTCTGAGCTTAAGTCACCTCTTCTAAAGAATGGGATGGTAGCCGGATGCCAGTGGTTCATGCCTGTAAGTCTAGCTACTCAGGAGACTGAAATCTGAAAATTACAGTTCGAAACCAGCCCAGGCAGGAAAGTCCATGAAACTCTTATTATCTTCAGTATAGTGCTAATCTTGAGCACAAAAGCTCAGGGACAGCTGGACACCAGTGGCTCATGCCTGTAATCCTAGCTACTAGTTGAGATCTGAGGATCACAGTTCAAAGCCAGCCCAGGCAGGAAAGTCTGTGAGACTCTTATTTCTAATTAACCACCAGAAAACCAGAAGTGATGCTGTGGCTCAAGTGGTAGAGCGCTAGCCTTGAGCTGAAGAGTGTAGGGACAGCACCCAAGCCCAGAGTTCAAGCCCTACAACTAACAACAACAACAAAAAGCTCAAGGACAGTGCCCAGGCCTTGAGTTTAAGCCCTAGGACCCCTTCCCCCCAAAAAAACAAAACAAGATGATATTCTTGGGTCATGTAGTTGTGCATTTTCCTGAAGGAGAATAAAATAGGGCTAACGGCAGAGAGAATTTTTACAATACATGTGTGGCTTTGTGTGTACACTGCTACTAGGGTTTGAACTCAGGGCCAGGGAGCTCTCCCTTATCTTCATTCACTCAGGACTGGTGTGCTACCACTTGAGCCACACAGCTCTACTTCTGGCTTCTTTTTTTCCTGGTTTATTGGAGATGAGTCACATGGACTTTGCTGCCTGAGCTGGCTTCAATCAGCCAGAATCACAGGAGTGAACCACTGATGCCTTATATGCATGGCTTTTAAATCCTAGGGAAGAGTTTGGGCTGTGTAGAGTTGGGCAGCAGGTATAGAATGTCAGGGGGACGCCAGGGACAGGTGGTACGTGGCTCTGTATTTGGGAGATTTCCCACAGGAGCTGTGGGTTAGGGCTTGGAGCTGGTTGTGTGTGTGTGTGTGTGTGTTGAGGAAAACTGAGGCTAGCTGATCCTAGGATGAGGGCCACTCAGGAGAGGTGGGTTGCTTTCAGGGGGACTCACCAACCAGGATGAGGACACAGACCAAGAGAGCGATGAGGGCTCCAGGGCTGAGGGAGGCTGCCATGACGAAGGCCGTGGTGTTACAGGACTGGATGGTGCCAGAGCCGTCACAGCCGCAGATGCGGATGGTGAGCGTGCCCGTACTGCTCAGCGTGGGCGGCCCGCTGTCCACCACGAGGATGGGCAGGAAGAAGACGTCCTGCTCCTGCCGGTTGAAGCCCACATGCTGTGTATGCACCGCGGCCGTGTTGTCTGTTTCAGGAGAAGCAGGTGGCAGTGACTCAGGTCAGCCCCTTTCATCCCAGCCCCCTCCTGGTCCAACCTGGAGCTTTATCTTTCATGTCCCAACGGATGCCTCTTAACTGACTGAACTGGGGCTGTTCCCTCGTGTCCCCTAATTCTGCCCTCGGCTGCCCACTGTGTGTTCCAGTCACATAGCCTCCAATTTTGTCCTCTGCTACCCTGGGCCTCTGTTCCCAGCTCTTGCAAGGATTTGTTGTCAGCGGTGCCAAGGTACTGTCCCCAACGATTCCAAGATTCTGTCCCCAGCTGGGCCAAGGTTCTGGCCTTGGCTATTTCAAAAACAATTCTTTTTTTGGTCATTTGTCTCAACAACCTATTTTTATTCTTGATCCCATTCCAGTTGTCCGATGTATTCTGACCCTAGGAGTCTAGAGGTCCTTGGATCATGGTTTGTTGGGTCCTGACAAGTTCAGGGTCATCAGAGAGCACTGGGAACACTGGCTGGCATCTCTCTGCCTTTGGCGGAGGGACCTTTCTGTCCTTCATGCCAGTCAAGATTTCTGGAGCTGGCTTGGAAAACTCTCATTAAGATGCTGAGCCTGTAGCCTGGGGTCTCCTAACCCATGTTCCTTTTTCACAGGCAGCCAGAGTGGATAGCAAACTGGCACAAATGCTACTCAGTGTCCAACGTTAGCCTGTTCCTGGGGATCCGGGCAGGTCTCAGGGGAAGGGAGCACAGGTACTTCTTCTGACCTTCCTGTCTCCTCCACACCTGTCCTGTATGAGTCAGGCCACTTGATCATAGATGGCTCCTCTCAGTTCTCATTAATGGTGGTAGGAAGAGATCAGAGGCCAGGTGACCACTGCTCTGCCCTTTATAACCAACCCCGCAAAAGGAGGGCCTGATTTCCTGCTGGAAATCCTCACCTCTCATTGTTCTCGCCTAACAGCCCCTTCCTTAGTAGTTCCCAATTCAGTGGTCCATCCTTGGCTTCCCTCCTCCACTTTTACATGCATTCGAACCTTTCAATGTACAAATGTTAAAAAGTAATGCTAAGTGTGTCCTGCACTAGCTAGAGAACCTCTCTTAGCTCTTTAGACTTTAGTTTGATCTGTAAACCAAGAAAAAGCATCATAAGGGTGTGAGAATTAAATGATAGAACCCAGGCCTAGAAAAATTCCAGACACATGTAAATTCGCCATATGCTGGTTAATGTTTCTTTCTGATTCAGCCCCATTTTCCCTGTGCCACACCCCATTCGTGCCCCTGGGTGTCCTTGCCACTCCTCATAAAATCTCCACTATCGAGACACCCTCTCCACCTTCTTGCCTGGGCAAATTTCTCATCTGTCATGCTCCAGCTAAATGTCACCTCCTTCCTTTGGCCTCCTTTCTCTGCTTCCCTGGGAAGGAAGGATTTATGGCTCCCCGCTCCCTACTCTGACAATGCAGGTGCCATGCACAGTTCTGTTACAGCACTTGTCACCTTGCGTTAAGCTAGTGTGTGCCCGTCTCTCCACTGCTGGCCAACTGGAGGTTCTGGCACTGAGCCAGTGTTGAGGCACACTGCTTGAATGAGCCACCACTTTCCGTGCTCATGGATCAGCTCCTCCAGCTCTGATTCAAACTCTGACCCCTTCCTGCTCCCCCTACGCCAAAGGGTGAATCACCCCCAGCTGGAAAAACATCTGCCTTCCACTGGGGAAGGAAGGGGTCTCAATAGTAAGGAGAGTGGTGTGGTTCTCATGTGCACTGACTGGATGCTTTTTATGTATCAGGACTATGCAGGTGCTTAAAATGAAGAGCAGTGTTTGGTCCTCATAACCACCAGGAGCAGGAGCATTGTCTTTATTTTATATAGGTAGAAGCTGAGGCTCGGAGAGAAATAACTTGTTTGAATTTATCTAATGAAATCATCTAACCATACATCCACCCATCCATTTCCATTCATCCATCTTCATCCATCTGTCTATCCGGCCATCATCTATCTACCTGTCCACCTCCATCATTCATCCATACATCCATACACTTCCATCTATCCATTAATCCATCCATCTATTTCCATTTATATACCTCTATAAATCTATCCATCCATCATCCATCTATCTGTCCACCACCATTATCCATCCATCCATCCATCCACCCATCCATCCATCCATTCACTCACCCATATATACATACATACTTACACTTTCTCTATCTATTAAACTATCCAGCCATCTCATTCATTTACCTCCACCCACCCATTTAGCCATCTGTTCACTTCCATTATCCATTCTTCCATCCTTCCTTCCACCCTTCCTTCCATCTATCCATTTATCCTCTCATCCATCCATCTTCCCATCTATCCATATATCTGCCCACTCGCCTCTGTCCACTCATCCAACATCCACACACTTGCCCACTTCCATCACCCACCTATCCATCCATCTATTATTCATCCATCATCTGTCCATCCATTCATTAACCCTCACCACCCATCTACTGACGCACTGTTCTTCCCTTCCTCCTTCCCTCCCTTCTTCCCTCTCTCCCTCCATCCCTCCCTCCCTTTCTTCCCTTCTTTCCTTCCTCCCTCATTTTCTTCCTTCTTTTCTCCTCCCTTTCTCCCTCCTCCCTGCTTTTTTTCCCCCAACAAATCTTTATTAACTCCTATGTACTAGGCATTACATTAGTCACTGGAGGAAAACAATGGAAATATAAATTAACTGTGGTCCTGGACCAGAGTTTCCAATATGAGAGACAAATGCTAACCCAATATGTTTATTACAATTACAAGCCATGGGAAGTGTGGTGAAGTACAAGTGTACGAAGAGCACCCAACAGAGGGCCTCAGCCAGCGATGGGTGAAGAACAGGTGTCAGGGAGAGCTTCTTGGAAGAGATGCTAGTATTTCTGAGCCTTGAACAAAGGAAAAAGAACAGCTTGTGCAAAAGCCCAAAGGCTGGAACATAATACACCAAGGCCCTGGACACCGTCCTTTGTGGCTGGAGGGCTAGGTGACAGCTAAGAGTGAGTCTGGTCCAGGCTGGAGGGGCAGGCAGGAGTGCATCATGGAAAAATTGGAAGGTTGGTATTAGTAAGGAATTTAAATGATCCCTTCCTTCACTCTCTTCTTCTCTCCCTCCTCCCTCCCTTCCTGCCTCTTTCTCTCTTTGCCATGCTGGAGATTGAAGTCAGGGGCCCTGCACTTGCTAAGCAACTTCTCTATCACTTGAGCCAGGCCAGTGGCCCATTGTGGTTTTGCTGTAGGTTTGGTTTTGCTTCACCTTGTTTTTAGAGAGAGCCTCATACTTTTTCCCAGGTTAGCCTCAACCATAATCCTCCAGTTCTCTTGTACTTGAGATTATAGCCATATGCCACCATGCTGGGCCCTAGGATTATTTTCTTAAAAGCAATGAGAGACCACTAATTATCGGGTTTGAAGCCAAGAAGTGGCCTAGTGATAGATAATCGATGCATTTCACAGCAGATCCGAACAAAGCATCCTCTACATGTCACAACGATCGCAGCCCCTGGGGACCTGGCGGGCACGAAGGGGGACAGCAGTTCCTGTTCCTCACTGAGCCTGCTGTCTAGTCAGGAAAACCGAAAACACAGGAGTGGGCTTGGAAGACGGAGGCTTCGGTGTGCTACGTGGGAAACAATAGCAGTAGTGACAACACAGAGAAGCAGACAGATCTGAGAAATGAGCGGCTGGCCGGGGCCCAGCCTCAAATTGCCAAGCAAGACAGAGATGTGTGTCTCTCAGGGTTCCTGTCTTTGGCCAGGCAGCCATATGTTCTGAGAGCTCCAGCCTCTGCCACTCCTTGGCCCCAGGAAAGAAATTCCCTGGGCCTCAGTCTTGAACCTTTCCAGCTCGCCCCTCCTCCCCGCCCCCAGCAGACAGCAGCTGGCATCTGCGGGGGAAGCCCCTGGCCACACCGGGCCACGCCCACCCATCTAGGTGGGCCTCGTGCCCAGCGCTGCACCCATCCATCTGGCCTGACATACATCAGTGTCAATTGCTGGCTGCAAGAGCAATATTTATAAATCACGTTTCCAAACTGGCTACAAATTTGCACAAAGAAACAGATGGGGTGGGGTAGCCTGTTGTCATGTAAGATATTTATATCGGGAGGAGGGGGGGCCTGCATGATACAGGAAGGGGCTGAGCAACCGGAAGAGGAGCCCTGCTGAGAGGCCCTGAGCTAGGCAGGCTGCTGCATCCCAGGGGCTATGGTCACCTTGGAGGGCAGCTCTGGCGGGGGGGAGGGGGGAAAGAGGGGAGGGCTCATCAAAGAGAAGCAGGCAGGGTTGTGGGGAAGAGGGCAGAATCTCAAGCCCCTGGCTGGCAAGGCTCGTGACTGTGGAGAGGCTGATCTGAGTTATTAGAGCCTCTGGGGCCTAGCTTAGGATGCCACTGAGTGAAGCCTGGGCTGGGATGTGCTGGTTGGTAAGCTATTGGAATATTCTAGAGAGGTTTACATAGCCATGGCCCAGCCCCAAATCCTTCCTTCAGCTCAGCTCTTCGCCTAGGCACCAACGCTCTGACACAATCAAGCCACTAAGGGGTTAATGCTGGGCACAGCAGGGCCACCAGGGCCCCTCCAGGTTGTGGTAAATATCTTTTTCCGGCTGTCTTTGCTGCTGCACCGGCTGTTAAATCTTGTTAACATGGCTTCAGGGAATACAGATGGGTCTGGCTTCAGAGGTCACTGCAGATGCACTCTGGAGGGTGGGTGTAAGGGTCCTGGGGTGAGCTCAGATCTATCCCAGCGCCAGAAGGAATGATGCAGTCTGGACCCCCAAGGTCTCTGACCACAGCTCCTCCTTACCCTGTCTCTCACTTGTTCCAACCACACAAGTCTTCTGTTTTCTCACCTCAGCTTCTACCTCAGGGCCTTTGTGCTTGCTGTTTCTAGACCAGTTATGAGCAAGGCTCACCCTTTTCATTTCCTTTAGATCTCAACTCACCATGGACCCCTCAGAGAGACCTTCCCAGACCATCCTACGATTGGAGCGTCCAATCTTACCTGGCCTTATTTTTCAGTTTCACGCAACACATCTTCTCAGACCCCTGTGATGTGCCAGGCGTGGCTCTAGGAATGCAGGCTCTGGCAGTGAACAGAGCCAAATCGAGGCTCTCGTTTGCTTGTTTGTTTCCCCTACTGAGGATTGCACGGAGAGCCACCATTCACATCCTAGGCAGGTGCTCTCCAGCTTGAGCCATGCCCCAGCCCAGAGCCCAGGCTCCCGAGTCACATTATTCCTCCCTCTACCAACGCCTTGTCTCTGCCAACACGCTGGGCTGGACAGGAGCTTGCTTCCCCAGTGTGGAGCTGAGGCCAGAGGCACCGGCACAGGGCAGGTGTGAACTCCTCAGGGTGATGGGCGTCCCCAGGCACGGAGCCGGAGCCCGGGAGCATGTGCGGCTTCCTCAAGGAGAGGGGCTCCTGGGCACGGGCCTGCAGGTCCTCTGGCCGCCCTCTCTGGATCCCTGTGCCCCCCAGAGCTCACCCCGATGCCCCCTTCTCAGCAAACCCACTCTCTGCTTGCTCTGCGTGGCCTGGCTCAGCCCCAGGTGGACCCGGGCTCTGACCCTGGACCCAGCACTGGCCCTCGCTCTGACCCTGGACCCAGCACTGGCCCTCGGGGCGCCAGTGGGGGGCAGGGAAGGCCGGCTCCGCCCTCTCCAGGCCGGCCCCTTGCTGGCTCACAGCTGACTCACCCTGGATGTCCAGCAGAGAGAAATGAGGGCTGCTGGGTGCTTCGGGCACCAGGCGGAAATAGAAGCGGTGTCCACCCTGCGGCTCGTCTCTGTCCACCACGCTGATGGTCTGGATGAGCTGAGGGGAGGAGGGGCGGGGCTGGTGGGAGGCTACTGCCACGCTGGCCTGGGCTTTCACGGGCCCTGCCAGGCCGGGCATCCACCCCAGCCCCCAAACCGCCCCTCCCAGTGGTACCTGGATCCCAGCACACACACACACACACACACACACACACACACACACACACACACACACGGTGCACCCCCCCCAGTGGTACCTGGATCCCAGCACCCTCACACATGCAGTGGTACCACCCCCAGCACCCCACAGTGGTACCTGGCCTGGCTTGGCATCCTCGCACACTGCGGCCTCATAGGGCGTGGCCAGCTCCGGGGGGTTGTCGTTCACGTCCAGGATCCGGATCCGCAGGGATGCTCGGGACAGCTGAGCGTGGTTGTCTGCCGTGACAGCACAGGAGGGGCTGGGGCGGAAGCTGAGGGGCCCTGGAACCCCTCGCTCCCAGGACTGGACTGGGTGGCACTGAGGGCTTGGGAGGTGCCTGAATCGGTATAAGGTCCAGGACGGGGGTACCCGGCTTCGGCGAGCGAGCCGTCACCAGCTTCCTCAGCGTCATCCCCACGGCCCTCGGTGTCAGTGCCACTGAGGGCATCTCCTCCCCACACCCCCGCCCACCCCTTCACACACCTCACCACCCACCAACGCCACCTGCAGTCCCACCCCCGTTACTACACCGCCTCCGCCGACCGGCCATCCCCATGACTACCATTAGCCTCACCACCGTCGCCAGCGCCCCAGGGAACTGTCAGAGCCACCCACACCCTCCTCTCCACCGTCACCACAGTAACGTCACCGTCACCCCCGCCGCTGCCCTGGCCGTGCCTCCCCGCGGGTGCAGAGGCCACGCTGACCCCCTGCCACGGTCAGCTGGGACGTGAAGAGGAAGCCGTGGGCTCTACATCTGCAGTTCTCACACACGCTGGACAAATGAACGAAGCCCAGAAGGACTGAGACTGCAGGAGGCTTGGGCAGTGGGCGTGGCCGGGCCGCTGACCTAGGGCTGGATCTTGGGAAAGGCCCTGCCCCCTGCAATGCCAGGCACTGGGGCTGTGGCAGAGCAACCAAGTGCTAGGACTGGCACCCCGGGGTTCTGATCGGGGCCTGCCGCTCGGAGGCTGTTTGATCTGCACTAGCCCCCTTGCCTTCTCCGTGCCTCAGTTTTCCCATCTGCCAAATGGGTGCTGGCAGGGAGCTGCTGGGCAGCCAGGCACTCGAAGGGTCGGGGAGGGGAGTGGGCTGATAAAGGGAAGCAGGAGGTGGGAAGGCAGGGTGGGGGGCCTTCATCGGCTCAGGCTGGACCCCCCCTCCGGATCTCCCCTCCACCAGGGACCCCCTTATCTTCGCAGCTCACGCAGATCTGCAGCCTCAGCGATTAGAGGGCTCTCCCGGGGGCGGGGGCTGAGGGATGCGAGTCGTGACTGGGAATGCCCGGTGAGCTGTTATTTTTAAGAGTGCGCTGCCAAGGAACCTAAACAGACAGATGGGGTGCTTTCAGGAGGCCAGAGCGGGGCGGGGGGGGGGCCCACAGTCACAATCTGGTGCCTGTCTCCAGGCCCAGGCAGGAGGGGGCGGGGTGGGGCCTGGAGGGAGAGACGGGTCCTAGTCTATGCAGAAGGGGCTCCTGGAGCACCTGCCACCTGCCCGAGGACCTCGCCTGTCCCAGCTCCGCCTGACACGTCCTACGGTCACCTCCTGGGAGCACCCGGTCCTTCTGGCCTGGGATCCTCCATTCTAAGAAGCAGAGCCCTTGACCTTGGCGCCATGGTTCTCTGGCCTGAGTTTACCCAAGATCTCCTGGGAAAGCCATTCAAAAGTCTGAAGGTGCCAGGTGCTGGTGGCTCACGTCTGTCATCCTAGCTACTCAGGAGGCTGAGATCTGAGGATCTTGGTTCAAAGCCAGCCTGGGCAGGAAAGTCCGTGAGACTCTTATCCCTAATTAACCATCAGAAAACCAGAAGTGGTGCTGTGGCTCAAGTGGTAGAGCACTAGATTTGAGTGAAAGAGCTCAGGGACAGTGCCCAGGCCCTGAGTTTAAGCCCTATGACTGGAAAAAAAAAAAAAAAAACGAAACAAAAAACGTCCCAATGTCCAAGGCGTGGCCATTGATGTTTTAAAAACATTTCCCAGGGGGATCTGATAGGAACCGAATATGGTGAGCTGTGTCTTGGGGTAACCAGCAAGTGGAGGTGGGGGGCGGGAGGGGAGGGGTTTGGCCCAATGCTTGGCCTCTGGTGAGGCCCCTTCTGGGCACAATATAATAACTGCCAATCACAAATTCCACAGCCCTTGCCTTCTGTGTTTCTGAGGTAAAATAAACCCATCGGCCCATCACCTTGACCTCCAAGCAGGATTTTCCAACTTTACAATGCCCTAGGATCCCACAGGAGCCTGGAAATAACCGGGGGAGGAGGCCTGCTCAACCCCATCTTACAGATAAAGAAACCGAGGCCCCACAAGTGGCAGGGGATCCCCCCCAAGGCAGAGCTGGGGTGCAACATCCAGACACAAGGTCACCAGCCTTCTCTTTAGCTATCCCTTGGCCTCCACCTCTCAGAGCCCCGCTCAGCCTGACCTCGCCAGTGTCCGGTGCCAGGTGCCCGTTTCTGAGGCTGGGTCCCGCCCCCACCGCCCCCTCTGGCCTGCCTTCCTCCCCTGGCATCTCAGTTCAGCTGACTGACATGCAAATTAGTTTAATTATTTCTTCTTCTAAAATAAATTATATTTTGCAGTAGCTGCAATATGTTGTGTCAGGCAAAATTACATTCAATATTTTTAAACTAATTGATGCAGCCTTGAGGAAGGCTGACTGACAGCCCAGAGCTGAGCAGGCCTGTAGCCTTAAGTGAATCCGAAATTAAAATGAGACGTGCTTTGGCCCAGTGCTTCCTGGGCTGGCCAGCCCCACCATTCACCCGGGGAGTGGCAGGTGGGATCCCCCCGCCCTGCCTCCTCCCCCAGGGCTCCAAGGGTCGGAGGAGGCTGGACAGCTCAGCATGTATGTCAGAAAGGGGCCAAAGTTAGGGCAGTGCGGCAGGACTCTTGCCTTCTTTGGGCCTTAAGTAGAGAGGATAAGAAGGGGGACTGCACTGCGCAAGGTGGAAATGGGACTCAGGCTTTGCTGATGCTGTTCAGTGAGCGGCTCCTTTGTAGGAAGGACACAGCAGCAAAGAACAACAGGACCCTTTGAGAGATAGACAGGCAGTGTCTTCAGACAGAGACAAGAGTGGCAAGGATAGAAGTTTGGGAGCAGGTCTGGAGCAGGGAGTGCCACCCTGCTGGGGGTTCAGGGATGTTTTCCCCAGAGTGGGTGGCATTTCCGCTGAGATTTGACTAGGAAGTAACCAGGTGAAGGGGGTGGGGAGGGAAAGATTGGCCTAAGGAGCCAGATCAGCATGTGCAAAGGCCCTGGGGTGGGAGGGAAGGCTGTAGATCTCTTTTGAGGAAGATCTCAGTCCCAGGCAGTGTAACTCACCTGGCATTTGGAACTAAAACAGGGAGGAGAGATCGTTGGGGGCCAGTGGGAAGAGAAGAAGACAAAGGGCCTGAGCCTGGTGGCCAGAAAGGCTGCAGCAGACACCTATGCGTCACCTGCCATGGCCAGGGTCTGTGCTGTCCCATTTCAGCCTATTGCCCATCACTGGAAGCTGGACACTATCACCCCTGGGCTATGGATGCGGAATCCAGCTCAGAGATGGGAGCAAATCACCTATGGAACAGGGGCCAGGGCCGGGACTCCAACACAGTTCCAAGGAGAGGGCCTTTGACCAACAGCATCTTGCCTTTCTCTATCTGCCAGAATCCTTGCTTTTGAGGCCCCGAACACACGTCCTGCCTCCTCGAGGAGGCCTTCCTTGACTAGCCTGGACTCGGGGCACTGGGAGGAAAGGTCAAGTCATACTGCCCACCAGGCCCCATGGATGCTGCTGCCAGAGCCTCCCCACTTCCTCCCTCCCTCCTCCCCTCCCCTCCTGTGGGAGGGTCTGACTTTTTGTTGTTGGTGGTGGTTGTGGGGCTTGAACTCTGGGCCTGGGCGCTGTCCCTGCACTCCTCAGCTCAAGGTGAGCGCTCTACTGCTTGAGCTACAGCACCACTTCTGGTTTTCTAGTGGTTTATTGGAGATAAGAGTCTCACGGACTTTCCTGCCTGGGCTGGCTTTGAACCGGGATCCCCAGATCTCAGCCTTCTGAGTAGCTAGGGTGCAGGTGTGAGGCAGGGGAGCCCAGCTAGGGTCTGCCCTCTTCCCCTTTCGTTTCTGCCTGAACCTGCCCCTTGCCACAGAGGAGGCCCGCTCCTCCTGGCCGTGACCTTCACCCAGCATGCTCTGCGTCCCAGCTTCTCTCTCCTCCCTGAGAACCCGCTGTGCACAGCACACAGTAGGCGCTTCATGAGTAGATTTCACGGTCCACGCGTGGCTAGTAGGGAAGGGACGGTGAAGCCTTCCTGATTTGGGGGGGAGCAGCGGAGGGGGATGCTATAGAGAAAGAGAAGCGCAGGGAGGAGAGAGGTGAGGAAAGAAGGGGGAGGGGGAGGGGGAGCAGCTGGGAGGTTTCCCCCCCTTTGCAGTGTGGGCAGGGGAGGGGAGACAACCCCTCTCCAGCCCCTCGCTCTGCCCTGCCGGAGGGAGGGAGGGAATTAAATAGCATGCGAACCCCAGGCTCTGATGAGAGCGGCCAGCTGGGCAGGAAGACTGAGCAGCCCAACTACCACATCTAAGACAGGAGGGGGCTGGCTGGGGGAGCAGCCGGGCGGGGCTCCAGCGCGGGGACGTGGGGAGCTCGGTGCCCACCGCTCAGGGACTCCTCAGATCTGTTTGGCTCCCTTGGCCTGGTGGGGGGGGTTACTCCTCCCTGGATGGTGATGGGAGGATGGAATTGGGGATGGGTGGGGGGGTCCTGATGGGTCCCTAGGGTTCCTGATGTTGGGCTGCTTTGTCCCTGGGGCCAACTCATCTGCTGAGTGCCAAGCTAGCCCAGCGCCCCGGACCGGTTCCCTCCAGCTCTTGGTGTCCCCACAGCCCCCCTCCTCTGGCACTCCACCCCAAGGCTGGTGGCTGACCTGCCTCTCCCTGGCTGCCATGGGAGCCGACACATTGGTTAAGCCTGGTAACACCAGACCCCAGCGCCCAGCCCAGGCTGCCTGGGGTAGAAAGGCAAAGCCACGGACTAAGGGGGGACATGTGGGCGGAGTCCTTGAGCCCTCTGTCACCTGACTTTGATGACACCCCTCTCTCCGCTCTGCTTGTTCACCAGCCTCTGAGCCCCCCTCCCTAGTGCCAGAAGGGCAAAGCCTGATTGACACATGGGTAAATTGCTCCTCACCTGGTCCTCAGCCTCCCCAGCCATGAAACTGGGAAGATCTGCTGCTGTTCCCTCTCAGAGTCCTTCTGCGCCCCCGTGTGTGTCAGGCATGGTGCTGGGCACCTACTATGTGTGGTTTCCACTCTCTGAGGATCCGTTGTCCATTGTACACCCAGCACAATATCTGGCCCACTGTAAACTTTCCATAAATAGCAGCTGCTATTATTGCAAGTTATGAGTCATTCAAAAAGGTAGGTATTATCACTGTGTGTGCATGCGTGCATGCATGAGTATATACATACATGCGTGTATGCATGTGTGTGTGTATGAGAGAGAGAGAGAGAGAGAGATGCGCTGGTACTGGGGCTTGAACTCAGGGCTTTTAGCCCTACCATGGCTCTTTTGCTCAAGGCTGGCACTCTACCACTGGAGCCATGCCTCCATTTCCTGCTTTTTGCTGGCAAATTGAAAATAAGAATCTCAAAGCCTTTTCCGCCCCAGCTGGCTTTGAGCCACCATCCTCAGATCTCAGCTTCCTGAATAGCTAGGATTCCAGGCATGAGCACCAGTGCCAGGCAGAAGGCTCCTTCCTACACTCAGTAAGCACTGCATGGCCATGGTGCACCTGGCCTGTGTGACAGCATGGCAGGTACAGGCTGGGGGCGTGGCAGGAGGGATGGGGGGGGAGCGAGCCTTGCTCAGATCCAAATTCATTCATCCACTGGGAGTGTGCTGGGTAACTGAAGGAAAATGGAGGCCCTGTGAGACTTAGCGGGGGTGGGGGGCTGGGGGGGGGACTGCTAACTATTCCCATGTCCTCTGCTGTCCTAGGCAGCTAGCTGCCGGCTGACAGCCTGGAGGAGACAGCAGGCCCAGCACCCCCACGGGCACTGACTTCCAAGTCCCTCCCTCCCCAGGGAAGACTGTCCCTTCACAGCCACCCGTCCACCGAAGGTCTCAGACACAAATTGTACTTTAAATTCAATATCGGTCATTAATATTTCATGATTACACAACGTTAAAGATAATGTCGGTGGAAGGCGCGTCTGCATGGGCCGCAGTGATGACTCAGAGGCCTGGGAAGTGGGGGAGGGGCGGCATACTAAGTGGAGGCTCGGAGGGG